CTTTCTCCAGCTCCCTCATCTCCGTCACAAAAAGAGACTCTCTGAACCTCTCCGTGCCCAATTCGCGCACCAACGTCAACCGTGTGGCGGCGAAAAGCATCTTTTGCCGGACGGGCGCCGTATCGGGGATGTAAGTGACGGCAACATAGCCATCCGGTGCATTCTGATACCGCCGGAGGATTATGTAGGAGGCTGCGGTGGTGGAGAGGAGTGGTGTAAGAGCAGGTAGATCGCTGAAGAAATCGGTGGACTTGGAGGGAAGGGTGTGCTGGGGGATGAGGGCCTCGGACGCGATGGTTGCTACGATGCCGCGTTGGCTCGGGGTGGAGACCAGCTCGTTAAAGGCATCTTGCAGCTCTTTGGAAACAGTTATGCCGGACTGCATGGTACCAATATTAGAGGAGAGGCCTGCTGACCTCGCGAAATCGTCAATCGTCGGTCGTGCAAAGTCAGCCAAAAAAGTTGCCTCGGCCTGGAAAAGGCGCTAGGACCCACATTGTCAATCCGCACTCTGTTTGTTGATGTCTAAGCCTCTCAGGCAAGCATCATCGAGCATTCAATGAGTGAACAGTGGTGTTGTACGATGCCTGTGCACCTGAAGCCCCTTCGTCTCTTGCCCGGGCACTTTTCGGACCACCGGGGTACGAATGGTTTTGCGTGGTTTGGCCAAGCTACCGCCTCTGGTCGAGACGCCACTCCTCCGCTCGTCCTGACGGCGGAGTATCCTCAATTCAAGCCATGGAGCTTTGAAACCCCACTTCGGACATAGCTTCCGACCTCGTAAGTCGTAACTTGCCGCGGTTCGCCAGATTGACTTCCCATGTTGAAGTCAAGCTTTCGTGTCACTCTGTGCTCTTCATTTGTTTCTGGTTCATTGACCAACATGATCACGCGTGTCGAGCCTTGCTTTCACTACTTGCTTGCCTACAGCCATTCTCAATCGAGGTCTCTTTACTGCTGAAGTCTCTTGGTCGTCTTATCACTCGGTCCTCTGTCTTCCTGCCCTCCAATTTTCTCTGCGTCTCCTTGCACTCTTTAGAATGTCCGCAAAAAGCGTTAAAGGGCCGGGAGCGAAAAAGCCTGCTTCGGCGGCCACCAACCTGATCGGTATGGAAAAAACTTGTCGACGCAGTTCAATTGTCTACTGACCTGCCACTGCAGCTGGTGGTGCTGCTGGCATGATGGAGGCACTGGCCTGTCATCCCCTAGGTCAGTTGCGTGGATCATTGCCTTCAAACGCTAAGGTTTAGCGATCCAGATACCATTAAGGTGCGGATGCAGCTTTCGCGGAGAAAACGAGCGCCTGGAGTGAGGAAAGTCTATCTATTCAAGGGAAGCTTGTGTCCTGATAGGCCAGCAGGCAAAACCACGCGGTTTCTACACCACAGGCAAAGAGATTGTGAACCGGGAAACGCCCTTGGGTCTGTACAAAGGCCTTGGGGCCGTCGTTACAGGCATCGTGCCCAAGATGGCAATACGCTTTACATCCTACGAGTGGTACAAGCAATTGCTTGTAAGCAAGGACGGGCATGTGAGTGGGGAGGCAACCTTCTTCGGTGAGGGTCCCCGGTACTTCCCATAAAGGTCGGTGTGCGAGCTGGAGCTGACCAATCTGAATATTTTCCAGCTGGGCTTGCAGCTGGCGTAACTGAAGCAGTTGCTGTTGTGACTCCCATGGAAGTCATCAAGATTCGACTGCAAGCGCAACATCACTCAATGGCCGATCCATTGGACATTCCCAAATACCGCAATGCCGCGCACGCCGCATACACCGTCCTCAAAGAGGAAGGAATTGGGGCCATGTACCGTGGAGTATCTCTTACCGCCTTGCGCCAGGGAACAAACCAGGCTGTCAACTTTAGCGCCTACACGAAGTTCAAGTCATTTCTGCAAAACTATCAGCCGGCATATCATGACAAGGAGCTTCCAAGCTACCAAACAATGTTCATCGGCCTAGTGAGCGGTGCTATGGGTCCACTGAGCAATGCACCAATTGACACGATCAAGACAAGGTTACAGAAAACCCCTAGCCAACCGGGGGAAACGGCGATAAGTCGAGTCAAGGTCATTGCAAGCGACATGTTCAAGCAAGAAGGGTTTCATGCTTTCTACAAGGGGATTACACCTCGGATTATGAGGGTTGCGCCAGGGCAGGCTGTTACATTTACCGTGTATGAGTACCTGAAGGGCTGGTTGGAAAGTACTAATTTTGCCATTGTGGGTGGGAAGTATGAGGAATAGTAAATCTATTAGTAGTAATGAAACTGAAGGACTCAAAGAGATATCTCGACTTTGAATAGTAGTATATGCATAACTGCCCGGAAGTAATGTTAGATATGAGCTGCTTCTCCGAGTACATCTTTTTTTAAGCGAGTCTCTGTACTTGGAGGGCAGACGCGGTTAGCAAAAGCCCGCCGCTATTTATGACCATCTGCACAGTCCAAGACTACTTGCGACGACTGGATCTGGGGAGACGGAGAGAAACAGGTCTGGAATAATCTCAAAGGAGCTGCGTTGCAGCGGTGACCCACCGTGAGATAAGTGTTCCTGGAAAGGCCGGAATGGCTACCGCTGCAAATACACTGAGTGCGCTGCTCCAGCGGACCTCGATTGACGACCACGAGGAAGTCCTAAAAGCTTGCAATGCATCTTTGAAAAACTCGAAAGGTGATCTAGAGCTCCAACATGTCAAATTCGTGGCACTCGTCAAACTGGACCGCTACAACGATGCGCTGCGGGTGCTTGAAGAAGGCGGGGATCGATTAAAGCAAAGAGTACCCACTGAAAGAGCGTATGCGCTATACAAGATCGGAGATTTTGAAGAGGCAAAGATCGCTGCGAAGCGTATATCTGAGGAAAGAGGAGCGAGGCATGTCGAGGCTCAAGCTGTTTGTATTCCCTTTCCAAAAAGAGAAGGTGGGCTCGTGCTCACAAATGGTGTAGTCATATCGGTCAGAGGACTTCGCCAATGCTGCGGCACTTTACAGAAACTTGGCTGGCAGCCAGACGGCCAATGAGAGCGAAGAGAATGACCTCAGGATCAATAGTGGAGCTACGGATGCGCAGTTGGAGTGGACGAGGCGAGGTGATTTGGTGCAGAAGAAGAAGCTGGGGAGGGAGGACCTAGAAGCCTTTGAGACAGCTTATAATGCGGCTTGTGGATCAATTGCTAGAGGGGAGCTTGGTCAGGGAGAGATGCTGTTGAAGAGAGCAAGAGGTAGGTATTGCTGCCCAAATTGTGGAACAAGCTCATGATGTGCTTTCAGATCTCTGTAATGCTCTGGACGATCTCACAGATCAAGAGAAAATTGCAGAACTCCTCCCAATCAGTGTCCAACAGTTGTATGTGGTCAGCAAGCTCGGGAAAATCGAAGAAGCAGAAACGCTGGCCTCGGGTATCGCACTTGAAGAGTAAGGGAACGGCCTACAACGAGGTTTCTCAGCAGCAGCTGATGCGTATTTAGGATAACAGATCTCTCCACGAGGCAGATTGCCAAGAATAACAAGCTGGCACTGTCGTCTCCGTCCTCGAACCCCTATTTATCCCATCGCCTCTTCCACAGCACAGAAAAACCGCCAAAAACCGACAACCTTTTCCGCCTGCAAGCAGAGCGAATGCAACAAAATGGCCTGGCTCTCGACCTCCTCGCCTCGAAATCTAACGGCGTAATCAAAGCCACCGGTAACATTCTCTCTAACTCTATCCCAACGCTGTCACCACATATCAACAACATATCCGTCCTCAACGCCGCCGCCCATGCCCAAAGCCAGCTCGCAAAGTTAGGCCTCAAACAAATACTCCCACTGCTCGAGAAGCGACCAAAGGACGTCGGCCTCGTCATGACCATCGTCCAGCTCTACGTCCTGACCAACAATCACGGCTCAGCAATAACCGTCCTCGATTCTCTCCTCAAACGCCTCTCCGAATCTCAAACCCCTTCAGATCAAGACGTCCTCTACGCGCCAGGACTAGTGGCCCTCCAAGTCTCCCTCTACACCTCCCAAGGTCGGAAATCCCAAATCAAAACCACCCTCGCGAAAGCGGCGTCCTACTGGCGTCACAAATCAAAACCTCCCACGACGCTCCTGCAGGCTGCGGGTCTCTCTCTCCTCAACTCCTCAGACCCAGAACACCAGTCTATAGCTCGCGATGTATTCTCCACCCTCCACACGCAAGACCCGGGTTCCAAATCTGCAACAGCAGGCTATGTGGCGTCCCACGCCCTTACCTCCTCCGAAATGGTGTCTTCAGAAGCCGATACCTTAACCTCGGTCGCCCGTCTCACCGTGGGCATAGACGTCACGGCGCTCGAAGAAGCTGGCGTGCCCTCTTTACCATCGACCAGCACAACAGCCGCTTCTCGCAAGCGCGCCTTGGACGACAAACCCAAGCCCGCCAAAAAGCGTGTGCGCAAGTCCAGATTGCCCAAGGAGTACGATCCCTCGAAGACGCCTGATCCCGAGCGGTGGTTGCCACTCAAGGATCGATCCACCTATCGGCCGAAAGGCAGGAAGGGCAGGCAGAAGGCAGCGGAGAAGACGCAGGGAGGGATGAGTGGTGAGAAGGGTGCCGAAGCCAAAGCAGGCGGTGGGGAAGGGGTCATCAAAGCCGCCGAGAAGAAGCCTGGTGGCGGGCAGGCGAAGGGGAAGAAGAAGGGCAAGAAATAGTATGTCTTTCGCGCTACTTTTTGGGCATCTGCGTGCCCTGTCGATGATCATGAACGAGCATGATGTAGAGCTAGGAAGCTTGAACTGTGAATACAGTGAATTGGAAAAGCTTTTTTAAACTACCGGCTGCTTTGATACTTTGCAGCTCAAGACACCAGCACCACCAGCACCATTGTACAGAGCGAGGATCATTTGCTAAAACGAAATGATAAGATAACGCCGGACATAAGAAGCTCATAGACAGTCCCTCATGTATCGGTACAGGAGGACACCTGCTGTACAGTAAACGCTGGGCGTCAAGTTTTTCTACTCCGAAAAGTCTTACCACCCGTTCAAAACATCATCGACCTCGTCTTCGCTCTTTCTGCTGTCCTCGACCCAATATCAGAACGTCTAGGGCTCTTGTCCGGCGCCGGCGTTGCGACAATGGGATGTGAGAAATGCTTTGCTGGCGTGGCTGGTGCAGACCTCAGGGGTGGTGCCTGCTTGGCAGAACCAGAAGACGTTTTGGTCTGTCCTTGCTTGGCCTGCTCGATCCGTGAAGCAGCTGCGCGTTGCTTTGCCAGAACAAGATCGGTCCAGGATTTAGGCTTAGTGGTGTCTTTGCCTACAACTTCCGAGAGAACCTTCATCCAGCCATCCTTCTCAGCGGCGCTATCAGCATAGAAATCGATGGTCTCTCCATTGGCAAAGCGGACGCGAAAGCCTTCCTCAACAAACATGTACCCCTCTTCTTCTTCAGCAAATGCAGATTTTCTCCGACCTTTGCCCTTGGCGGGGACATCGTTGCGCATAAGAGCCGACTTATCATCAATCAACTTGCTGGCTTTGGCGAGATTGATGGTGGCTCTGGGTTGGCGCGTAGCTTCATGGTAAGCGGTGAATTTGGACCCATCAAGGGTGAAGAAACGTCGCCGCCAGTACTAGCATCTGTTCAGCTGTGCTCAAATCCGTTGAGGAAAGACCAAGACTTACTGGACAATCGCCACCTTGTTGGCTGAGATTACCTTCCCATTTCTTAGGGGTCGCACTTTCAGCTTCCCTCAGCTCACGAATGCAAGCGTTCATGCTCTTCGGCATATCCTCATCCTTTGCATCCTTGGGTTTAGGTACAAACAGAAGCTGCAGCTCAAGTTTGCCAACTCGGTAAGGCGCCTTACGCTGGACACCACCGTTCATGGCGCTGCGCTTGCTCTTGACGCTGCTCATGGTATGTGCATCTTCAGTTGCCCACTCGTTGAAGCATGGTACATCCACAGTATAAGGTTTGCCATATGCACTGGTTTCGTGGTCTTTGAGACAAACATACGAACGTGCGAAGCTACCATCTTTGGCCACAAGACCATGTAGAAGATCCCAAGCGGTAGGCTGAACAACTCGTTTGCTGGCTTGTTGCTTTTGTCGCTCGGCCTGCTGGGCCTCTTCTTGACGTTTCATCTCCAGCTCTTTGCGCTTGCGCGGAGAGGCAAAAACACGACTGAATGTCGAAGGTTTTGAAGGGCTGGAACTCTTTGTGGGAGACTCAACGACAGGCTGGGCTTTTGGCTCTTCGAGCTTGGTTTGCAGGGTGAGCTGGAACTCCAGGTCGTTCAGCACAACAAGTTCGAATTCTTGTCCAATTGGAGCGGTCTTGCCAAGCTCCAACCATGCCGTAGTGACACAGTGCAAGCCGTTGTCGAGAGTCAAGGCAAAAAATGAACGCTCCCCTGCAGTCGTGGTTAGCTGTGAAAAAACGTAAGGATTTCTGAAATAATCACACCTTTCGGCAGAGGAAGGTCTAGGTCTTTGACCCTTACGACCTTCACAAAGAGTCTGCCTCTTTCACCATCTTCTCCAATTTCCTCTGTATTCTGCATGGATTCGTCTTCGGTAACGCTGCCAAGACCGCTGGCTACGTTGCTATGCTGACCGGGCAATGGAGGAGCTGGCCCACTACCTGGCGCTTTCGAGGGTATGCCGCCTGATTTTCGGATACTCTTACGCCTGATCTTGCCGTTCCATGGCTCTGCCGTCCAGGTCTGCGTATGACTTGGCTTTCTGGGAGAATTACCTGCAGATCGCGTGCCTCGCGCAGCAGGGTCTTGAGTATCCTGAGTCTCGGCGGCAGAGTCGGCAGATTCATGGGAGGCGCTGCTAGCGATGATGACTTTGGTGTTTTGTCTCATCAAGTAGCCTTTCTGTGTACGAAAAGTCTTGTTAGCATAACCCTCTCTAAATTGTCTGAACTCTTGTCCAGGCATGTGTTCTGCGTGTCCAGGGGACCATGGCCGGGAAGCCATGTCAGGGGTAGGAGAATTGAACGCCACCTTTTGGGCTTCGATCAGGCGATCGAATTCGCTCTCTATACCAAATCCGAGGCCATCACTAGCTTGCACTGAGACTTCCAATGGAAGCAGGCTACTCTTTCGTTTAGATGGCTTCGACGTGTCTCGCTCTTCAAAAGTCTCTACGGATGCTATCTCGCTTGCAGGGTCACAATGAGGTTCATCAGATTCTGCAACGACAGACGGCCGACTCAAGTGTCGCTCTGGGATCTTGGGTACAGCTGGAACCTGGCTTCCATTGCTTACTTGGCGCCTGACCTCAGCCATTGCCTGCACATCAGCTGGGGTGATAGAAGGCCGAGTCTTCAGCTTGCTCCCCGGCGCTTTGATCGTTGCGACTGGCTCGGGCACACCGGGAGAGTCAGGCACGGGCGACTGTGCGATGGGGTGACGAATGACAGAGTCTGGCGTCTTGGGTTCGTCTTCTGCGTCGTTCCACTGTCCTGGAAACCTGGGTGGTTGGAGCTGTTCTTCGGGTGTCACTGGTCGATCGATAATCTGCTCTGCAAATGACTTCTCGCTTGGCACCTCTGACGTCCAAGACGGCTGAGATGACAATACGGGCTTCGCCGGCTCCTGAGTGGTTTCTGGCGACGGAGTCATGAACGACTCCATACTAAAGCCAAAGTCTGACTCCCCTAGTAAAGCTGCAAACTGAGGCAAAGACATACGATGGCTGTCTTTGCGCTCCAGATCTTGTCCTGCCTGATTCGACGTTAGAGCTCGCGGTGTAGGAGGACCTTCATCATCAGTAGCACTGTCCGATTTGCGCTCTTGATGTCCGTTTTCCCTAGAGTCAACAGAATAATGGCTTTCGTCATCATCATCTTTGTGGGTGGCACTGGATGCTCGGAAAGCTTCCAGTTTCTCGATTGCGTTCATGTAGGACTCGGCCTGCAGTTGCTGGCTGTAGAGGTCCGGAATCGAGTAAACATCCACTTCACTGTCCTCAAGATCGGGCTCCTGCTTAATGATCACCTCTTTCTCGGTTGCTTCGGTCTCGAGAGATGGAATTGGAGTATCAGGGTCCAGGTTATTGTAGACGCCTTTATCAGAGATTGGGCTCAGCCCCAGGAACGAGGTGTCATCCTCAGGCTCGTTGAAGGTGCGACTCTTGACCTTACGGAGGATCGACTCTCTTGAGATTCGTGGAGGCAGCTTATATTCTCCAAGACTTGCTACATCGTCGTTCTCAACTTCTTCTTCATGAATTTGGATTTCTCTGTCGCCTTCTCCCGGTTCTGAGCCTCTCAGAGGGGATCCGCGTCGAAGTCGCCTCTCCCGTTGCTCTTGTTGTTCCTCAACTGGCGAGCTGCGCTTGTCCGGATCATCGATCATCATCAAGCGCAGACGATCCTCGATGGACATAGAACAGCCTCCCATCCCTTGAATCTCTGCTTTCGAAATCGACGCTGGGCGAGGTGGTGCCGGAGAGACACGCTGGAAACTACTCACGCGTTCGGCAGTGGCAGAAAGACTATTATTTGAGTCTGACCGAGCACGAGGGAATAATGGCGTGCCCAATGCTGGAAGAGGTGGCAATGGCCGGCGCTCGCCGTTGGAATTAACGGAATCTGTCCTCGTCGGCGAGACTCGTGCATCGGGTATTGAAGAAGGTTGTGCTGTCGGGGCTAGGCCGCTTTGCTCTCCATCAAATGGACTCTCAACATGTGCTACGAGATCTTCATTGGCAACTGCTGGGCTCATGAAGCGCCAATCCTCGGGCAGAACCACAGGAGTCTTCTCGGTGTCTTCAAGCGACGCGTCGAAGCTATCATCTCGCTCAATGGAAGAGCCTCGGTCGAAGCTCTCGTCTTCTCCTTCATTCACAGAGTCGTAACTTCCCTCACGAGACCCTGATGCCACAGATGATGGATCGGGGGTAGTCATCTCATATTCGTTTACTTGAGGAGGCGCAGCGTCAAACGTGACACTCTTGGCATGGCGATGCAGTGACTTGCCGGGAGGTAGCTCACGCTCGGCAGACTGCTCCTCCTCCTCCTCCTCCTCAGACCAGATGCTGTTCTCCAGGTCAAAGGCCTGGTGCGGCTGTAAGTACCTGCTCTTACTAGACATGGATGATTTCGTCGGAGACGTCGGTGCTTTGCTGGGAGACATTGACTCTTCAGAGATACCGTTCGTTTTGACTGGCGATCGCAGCGTACCATTGACGGGCATCCTCTTACTTTCCCCCTGCCGGAAGTTTCCAAGTCCGCTACCACCATATGCATTGCCTTGTTGCACGCTAAGCGGCCTGCCTGTTGCCAGCGGCCTCTCAATCATGGGGCTTGATGTAGGGTCATACTCTTGCTTGTGTTCGCGAGCGAACATATTGCTATTCTTTACACGAGACGCACGTTTCAAGTTCTCGATTGATGACCTTTTGGCGGGAGATGGGGAGCCATCGCGGTCACTCAGGGGGTTCCGGTTTTCTGCGTTGGACCTAGTTGGAGATGCTGGATCACGATTCTGCCAGTACAGACGAGGCGAATTAGAGGCAATTGGCGATTGATCAAATGGGGATGAGTCCCCATTGAAAAGGCTCTTCTGAAAGACAATTAGTCGAGGCGTCGTCTTAACTAGCCATTGCTCTCACCTTAGTGTTTTGATTGTAGCTTGGAGAGTTCCGTCTTCGCTCCATAGGCCCCAGTTCAGCGAGCGGCCTTTTAGTCAGTGGAGCGCTCGTTTTGTTAGGAGAAGATGAAGGGGTGTTCTTCTGGATGCGCAGCGGCTGGATCTGGTTCCATGGTTCAGTGTTATGATTGGGCGAGCCAGCGCATTGTCCATATTTGCTCATGGATGATAAAAACATACGGATTGAGACATAACGGTAAGTTCAAGACCTCCGACCCCTATGGAATCCACCAATGCTAGAGCTGTATTCTGACTGCTGGATTGCTCGAATGGCAGCCGAGGAATGTGTTTATTTCGAGGCCCGCAGGAACAATGTCCTAGTCACAGTAGTAGTATTTGACGAGTGATTGACAGGAGATTTTATATTGGGTCTTTCTAGAGCAGTGACATTTCAATCATGAGGGACAATGCTGTGCCTGACAACGCATGAGGCTGGTACCTGACCGAGGAATATTGTTTGAGCACTACACAAATCGGAGCTTCAAGCGCGAAACCATTGAATTAGCGCATCCGCTAACGTTGGCCCGGCAACAAACGCGCAAGTGCAGGGATCGAGGGGATCATGCAATCTTGGCTCTTGCAAAAATGTTCTGGTGAGAATTGAGGTGCATTGAACTTTCCCAAGGCAAGTTTCAATGTCGCGCTCTGCGCGGACAATTTGTTTGTTCTGTCAACACAGAGCCTTTTGGGACTCATCTCCTCCAGCTTTATATCGGCCATGGCAGCCCAGAAGGTCAATGGCGCAACTGCAGCGTCGTCGTCCCCCGTCCAGGATGAGCTTGTCACCTAAAGTCTCTCGCCCACCTACTAGAACTACCCCAAGTGGCCAACCAGTGAGAAGGCGAACTAACAGCCCGTTCGCCGGCATGAACCAAGGGTCAGCAGATATACGACGTGAACCCTACGCCCGCTCAGAAGCCGAGGTGAGGAGGTCTTCTGGGGGAAGAGAACGTCCAAAGAAAGCAAGAGAACCTTTTCATGCCTTGAAGATGCAGAAGGCTCTGAGTGCTGTATCATATGGGCAAAGGGCTTCAATTAAAGCAAAGATTAGCGAGACCGAAAGCTTTGATGACTTTCCCTTATTACCAATGGTAAAGGAATCGATTGCTACCCAAGCGCTGTCCGGCATGGTCGACCTTGTTCCCACGCCCATACAGCGATTGGCGATACCTATTTTGCTGGGCAATGAGACAAGAGCGGCCCGGAGAAGATCGGCTGCATCCGGGAAGAAGGAGATGGAGCAATTCTTGCTTGCTGCAGAAACTGGATCGGGGAAGACGCTGGCCTATCTGTTGCCGGTATTGGATGCTATAAAACGCGCAGAGGTCATAGATGTAGAGCTGGAAGCTCAGAAAAAGATTCGAGAGGAGGAAGAGAGGAAGAAGGTGAATTTTCATGCCCTGGAGCCTCCTCCGTTGTCCAATGCACCTCATCCAACCACTGGCCGGCCAAGAGCCATCATTCTTGTCCCAACCTCCGAGCTCGTAACACAAGTTGGCAATCTTACGAAGCTTTTATCACACACAGTGAAGTTCCGCTCCGGGCTTATATCGTCCGCCTATAGTGGAAAGGTCATTCGCAATCGTCTTTTCGCACCTACTGGAATCGACGTCCTCATCTCCACTCCTCATTTACTAGCTAGCATTTCGGAATCAGATCCCAATATCCTCAGCCGCGTCTCCCATCTCGTTATAGACGAAGCCGACTCCCTACTCGACCGCTCCTTTGCCCCTTCCACATCAACCGTCATCGACAAATCCACCCCATCTCTGCAGCAGCTCATACTCTGCTCAGCAACAATTCCTCGAAGCCTAGACTCTTACTTACGCCAGCGCTTCCCAGATATGCGGCGACTCGTAACGCCTAATCTCCACGCTATCCCTCGGCGCGTACAGCTCGGCGTCGTAGACGTGGAAAAGGAACCCTATCGCGGCAACAAAATTCTGGCCTGCGCGGATACCATTTGGTCCATCGGCAAAGCTGCAGCTGAACACGCTCCAGGCGATACCGAGCGCGCTGACATCAAGCGTGTATTGGTATTCGTCAACGAGCGCGAAAAAACACAAGAAGTTGCCGAGTATCTGACCTCAAAAGGCATTGACGCTGTTGCTCTAAACCGGGATACGCCAGAACAACGACAATCAGAGACGCTGGGAGGTTTCACAACGATTACGCCTAAGACCGCACCGGAAACTGCCAAGGACGCCTCGGCTCCGCGGAGCGGCCCCAACTACATTGCATTCAATCGTACCGCAAGCACAGTCACCCCTCCACCGCGACGCCATCTGCCCAACACAAAAGTTCTCGTGACTACTGATCTTGGCTCACGAGGCATTGATACCTTGGCAGTACGGCACGTCATCTTGTACGATGTGCCACACTCCACCATCGACTTCATCCATCGACTCGGTAGGACCGGTCGAATGGGACGACGGGGACGTGGTATCGTTCTTGTTGGCAAGAATGACAGACGGGATGTCGTTAGAGAAGTCAAAGAGGGCATGTTTAAGGGGCAAGCATTAATTTGAGAAATGTTGGTGTAATATACATATTTACTGTAGTTCCCTTGTGGGTATCATCTTGATGGGCACCAGCCTGCCGGATATACCCTGCATTTTAGGCACATAAACATCGAAAGACCAAAACTTGTGCAATTTCTGCAGCGTTCTGCGCTATCCGTACTCTACTAGACAAACAGCCAGCCATATATACATAACCCGCCACTTTGACGGTCAAAGACGTCGCTACACGCTCCCACAACCTCAACAGTCTCTAAGATCACAGTACGGAGTCTCTCTTAGCATGCAGCCCGCGTTCCTTGAGGACAGTACTGCGCCAGGGTTCTGCGCCGACCCCAACCCTGCATGCCTGGATCCTTTTCCCAGCACCAGCCTTCCTTCCAAACCCTTTCCCCTTCCCGCCGCCCGTGCCCATCCCTTCTCCATCTTCTGCCAACCAGCTCGATACCCAGCTCCGATCGATGACCAAGCCCCAAATACTCCATTTTGGGGGGGCTTTCTTGGCTTTTGGTGTGTCATATTTGAGGTCTCAGTCAGTGCCTGACTCGAGACGTTCAAGAGAACACCGTAGCTCGGATGATGATTGCCTCTTCCTGCTTGTAGAACGAGTAAATGTGGGCGGAATTTGGGAACTAGGCCAGTACTCTAGACCTAAGAGCGTCGACCAGCAATGCAGGCGCAGGCCCAGAGATTGAGACAACAACCACTTTTTTTGGCTTTACTCTTGTGGTATGTGCTGCGAGATGTCGACGATATCTCCACCGAATTTACACGAAAAGTGCCCGAGTACCAGCGATGTGCTAGCGGGTTGGAACCGTTTTCCTGGTGTCAAGCAGGCTTGATGATTCAGAATTGGTCAGGTATCACGGGTTGTAATAGTCAACTATGCGGGGCCCATGAGAATCTATTCCACCTCACCCTTCTTCGTTTATTGCGTCTCCCTCATCTTCACTCAAGACTTCGCCAATATTCGTCTTCGCCGCCGCGTCCGTCAGCGTATCTTTCTTGATCTCTTTCTTGGTAGCTTCGACTCCAGCGCTTGACAGATAGAACAACTGCGAACTCCGGGTGTTATCCATACCCGCGAAGAAAGAGTGGAAGGTATGATCCCTTTCCTCTTCTCGGAAAATGCGCCCATAGATCTCCCGCTGCTTGAATTCTTCCATCTCCTCCTCATATCTGCTGAAATCGATTTTGTTGTATCCGAACCCCTCAAGCTTCTCATTGTAGACCTCAAACACAGGGCATTCAAGTAGAAGGCCCAGACTAGGTGCTTTGGGTATGCTGAGTTTATCAGCCATATAGGAGTCCTGTATGCGGCCCTCGTGACAACCGCAGCGGACGAGCAAAGCGATCATACTGACCATTTTACGTATTTGGTGCATCATGAAGCTCTGACCCCAGACTTTGAGCGAAAGCCATTCTGTGTCATTGATGATGATAGGGACAGCGTCTACGTTGAAGGCTTTTATAACCCTTGTGGCGGAAGGATCTCTGAAGGTCTTTTCGATTGTGTAGTTGTGGAATTTATGTGTGCCAATATAGCGGGACAGGTGGGAGCGGACACGCGCAACGCGAGCAGGGTGAATTCGATAGGCATTTTTTGCCTTGATATGGGCGGCTTTAAGATCACGAAGGGCGTTTTCCACAGGCGTAAGTTCTCTCGGTCTCTCTTCTCGCGTCTCCATGGCTTCTACATTGACTGTTTCGAGCCCTAGGACTGAGGAGATGTCTGCAGTGCTTTCTTGACGATTTTTGCTTTCCGTGGCACTAACATCCTCAACTGCTGAGATAACTTTAACCTGGTTGGGAACACCACTGATGGTTTGCTTCAGAGCTTCGGTACCAATCGTCGATGCGCTATTTGCAGGACTGTTGTCGTGCTCATAGAATGCTCTGAGTACTTCGTCCCGTATTGAGAGTTCCATCTCTTCAATGACAGGTCTGACATATTCCTCTTCCATCTTGGACCAGACGTCTTCAACCTCCTTTTGACGGGCTTGATAGCCTTCCAGATCGTTGGCCTCTTCTGCAAGCTCTACCATCTGTTTGGCAAGGAAGCTTTTCGGATGAGGTGGTAGAAAGCAGTGTGATGGAATGAGATATTGATAAGTCCTCGAATCGCAGTGCTGGTAGCAGCTGAAGCTACCATTGGTTCTCTCGATGCCCCATACTCGTATCTGTGGGCTCAGATGCTCATTGATCTTGGCGACTATATCTGGGTCCTCGACGATGAGTTTCAACGATATCACATTGCCAGCAGCATGGACTCCCTTGTCAGTACGAGCGCATCTGATGAGCGAGGACTTCTTCGGGTCATCGGCGTTGGCTTTCGATATCGCACCTGAATCAACAAAGGCCTTGAATAGGTCGCCCTCAATAGTCTTCTCATGGTGATTCCTGAGGGTTGTTAGAGGTGCAATGCGATGCCCAGACCCTTGCGGAGACGCTTACAGCTGCATGCCCTTATATCCAGTGCCGGAGTAACCAAGCATCACAGCGACCTTCCGCTTAGGTTTCTTCTCCTGAGTCTCAATCTCCTCTTTCGAGAACTTGGTAGCGTAGACTGGTAGATCCTCCTTTCGGCCGTCTACTTTTTGTCGTTTCGCAGCTCGCTCGTTGTTGCGTGCTCTTCGGTTAAATGGAGTACGACTTCATGAATTAGTCCGGATAAGGATGATGAGGTCTGACTCACATACGCCCATTCTGCGCGCCCGACTTCTTTCTTCTTATTGGACCCCCCCCAAGCTCCTCTACCTGCCCCATTTCCTCGATGCCCTTGATCTCCTCGACGTCCTCGGCCTCCCGAGCCACCTCTGTCTCCAGATCGCGAGTTGCCTCTACCTCCCACACTCGAATTGCCGGTACCCCTGTTGTGCGCAAAATGTGGTAATCCCTCTCCGTTTTGGTGGGTTGTCGACCGAGCAGAATGCTCTCGGTTCTCTTGGGAAGCCATGGTGGTGGATGTTCGATGAGCGAAGCTCGTAGATACCGATGTCTTAGTAGATTGACTGTTCTCTGCGCAGGACTGGGAATCATCAATGATTGCTCATACATTGTAAATTTGTGTGGAGTGGGACTACGTTTGATGTCCTCTTATGCCCGACAACTAGTAATGTCCGGTAAGGCTGCGCTAGATTGGTACTCGCAGCAAACAATTGAATATCTCTCTCTTTGTTCCTGAGGTCTTTCCGAAGTGGTGCAATTCACATACCCTCACCCAAAACTTCTCTCCATCTAGATCTACTCGACTCAACACTCCGAGTCGTTTGGACGATGGCTTTCCTCTCAGCCTTTACTCCTTGAGGCGCTTGCTGAGCATCTTACAGAACCACCTCCCCCCAAGAATCAGACTCTCTGATAGGTAGCCGCGTTCTTGATCATCACAGCCATGGATCTCGCAAAGACGCTCATACGCAGCGTGGTACGGGCTTTCTATGATACGCCCTTCGTTTTGGTCATCGATGCGTTGATGGTCCACTCGGCGTTCGTGCGAGCCCAGCAACGTTGGGGGGTTGGAGCTGAATGATCTGACAGATTGCCCAACGAGGACCTTGCATACCTGTTGCAGATCCCGAGCAAAGAGCTGCGAAAGCTATGCGGAAAGTTAAAGGAGGACCGTCTGCTATCAGTGTACGTCAGCTGCTTGCTTCGTGCTGGACTTTCCTGAGGTCTCGGCTAACGAGACCTTCAAGTCACTCGCGCCTGGAAACTCGCGAGGGTCAGCAACGACCGATAAACAAAGATTACTACTATGTCGACTTTCATGCAACCATCGATGCCATCAAGTATCGCATTTTCCAACTGACTCAAAAAGTTGAAAGCATGTACAAGCCGAGCGAGGAGAAAAAGGATTTTCACTGTCCGAGATGTAAAGCTCAGTGGACAGAACTTGAAGTGCTGGATAGACCAGTCCCAGAGGGGTTTGAGTGTCATCGTTGCGGCGGTCTTCTCGAGAGAAAAGAGCAACTCGATGCTGGCGACTCGACGGGACACGCGAAGCAGAGCAGGCTCATGGATCAGCTTTTTGGTCTGCTCAAAATGCTGCAACAAGTTGATTCCGAGGACATTCCGAGTAACGACTTCGATACTGCTTTCTCGCACGCCGTTCTTGTGGAGAGAAATATAGTTGTGAACCCAGGACAGCAAAGAGTGACTTTCAACGCTCCAGAGCCTCCTCCAGCTGCGGTGAAAGGCATGATGCCCCAGCTCGTTGCCGCGCAATTAGATGTCTCTGTGACTACAGGCTCCGAAAGAACAACCGCGGAACAAGCTGCAGAAGCTCAGCGAAAAGCAAATATTGCAGCGCAGAACATCTTACCGGTCTGGCATACGACTTCTACTGTCACTGGAGAGACCACCGTGGCTGGGAAGAAAGATGGTGAGCAGCAGGTAAATGGCCGTGCTTTGCTGAAAGAGGAAGAAGACGAAAAGAAAATTAGCACCGAGGATGAGCAAATGGCGGCATACTATGCGGAGATGAGGCGAGAAGAGGACATGGAACAAGAAAGGAAGAGAGTAGCACGAGAGCAAGAAGCAGCATCGGAAGACGAGGATGAAGGCGACTTTGAAGATGTCTTGTCAGCATCGCGAAACGGCACGCCTTCAAGTTCCATGTCCGAAAATTGGAAAGGGCCGCCAGTTTCTCAGACCAATGGAAGCGTCAAGCGGAAAGGGAGCGAATCTGGAAGCAGCGCACCTGCAACCAATACTTCTACTCCTATAGGCTCTGGCCAAGCAATCGAGGAAGGAGATGGTCCAGTACTTAAGAAAGTTAAGTTCGAGGATCGAAAGAATGGGGCAAGCGCGGTCAAATCTGAGGCAGAAGAGCAGGTGGACAACGATTCCGACGAAGATGAGGAAGCGAATTTTGAAGATGCACTATGAAGCCCTCGCATACGACGTGGACAGCTCTGTCCTCAGGCATTCTCATAGCGATGAATGTCATTAGCTCACATCTGGAAAGCCGTGTCCAGAACCTTCTCTCCATATCCTACTGTCTCGTGTTTTCCAGGCTACAGGTGATGAGGATGCGCCATTCTTAGGGCTTTCTCCTTTACTCTAGAGCAACAAAGGATTCCCCTCTAGATCTCTTTGCTTATCTGATGCTAGATCTGCATTTGAGGTCATATTCGTTTGCAGCGTACGACACTAGAATTTGCCCCTTCTATCGCTGCCGTTCTGCTGCCAAAATGCCTCCTTTTCGATCTATGACGATTGGTAAGAGTATGTAGCATAAGTCATGCATAGAGGGCCATCCGAACTTAAATTTTTTCCAAGTCCTACAGTGGTAGCCAACAGGGCTGACTGGAGAACTTTGCGGAGAATCATTAATTTCTCCACTGTAGGACTTAGAAAAATTAAAGTTCGGATGGCCCTCTATGCATGACTTATGCTACATACTCTTACTACTGGTATATCGTCATTCGGATGTGTGGGTTCAAGGAAATTTTCCAGGTGTCCGTGTTATCTCATTTCAAGTGTTCTCGTTCCTGGGCCGCTGTCATCCATTCCCACGGTAGAGGTCTTTCGAACTATCCCGTTTACGGGGCCTCTTCAATCTCACCACGCTCTTGTTGCGTATCCAATCTCCCGAGATTATGTCTAACACGGTGTCCTCCCGAGGCGAGGCACTATCCACAAAAGCTCCATCGATAATTATCAACCCTGCCATCTTGGTCCTGCCTGAACCGAACACTTGATGAACTCGCGACTCTTGGCTCCCAGTCCATCAGCCTTCGGCAAGTCACATGCGTCGAGTCACTGACTCCTTTGACCCGTTTCGTATCCGTATTATTATCGAAATCCCACGATATCAGACCGCAAAGCATCCACACCACGCATATCACACGCAACAAACCCCGCCAAAGCTCCAACATGACCTCGAATGTTATGCCCCGACCGAACCACAGCCCGCGTCCGTATTCTCAGCCGCCGCCCCATCACCGTAACACATGGCAGAGTCACCCGCCCCGTAGCTCCCACCGCTGCTCCGTCCGATACCTCCGACTGCTCGCCGCGCCTACCGCTTGAACCGGTAGGCACCCACCGCCCTACTCGTAGGACCGACCCATCACACCATTCATTCGATCCATACTGCGTAGCAGGCGCAAAGACTCTCAGCGACGGCGTGTCGTGAATCATGCAGTCGACTTGCTCGACGAGGGAGCTGTAGCTTGTGAGGGGGGGGGCGGGAAAAGAGATCTTTGGAGGTAGCGGAAGGCGACAACGCAAACAAAGCAAAGAGACAATGAACGACGAACGGTGTGCATCCTAAGAATCGAAACCAAGCAAATTCTTAAATGCGCTCTGCATGAGGAACCAAATTCAGGGATGGGCAAAAGGGCTAGCAAGCCACTAGAGACATAATATTATCCTAGATGCCTCAATTAGAAGGGTTTTGAGGACTTGGCTTTACATTTTATCAGACGGACACCTCGGACTTGGAGAGGAAGGTAATGCATTGAAGACATCTCTATTTCACATTCAGGGCCTGTCCTCCTTAGGCCGCCAATTGATCGTTCGTGCGGAAAATGAAGCTGTGACGCCGAACGCCTCGCAATAATCATCGGCACCCTTCCTGAGGAGTACACGCCTGGAGCTTGCCAGCTCATCGTCCTCCACATGCGCAAGGCTTTTATCGCCAAGATCCTGCAAGAATGAACTCCTCACCCAGTAGTCTATCGTTGTCCTGGTCCATGTGCGCCGTTCAATGCATCGCTTCGTTTCCATGCTGTCACGTGGATCCCCAATCTTTACTCTGCGCCAGGATTGCAAATTACTCGTTTTGTACTCCGTCATGTTTAGGTGTTGCGGATTCAATTGGCTTCCTTGTAATGCTGGATCATCTACGGAGAGGGGAACTCCGAATCTGAGTCTGTAGGTATGTCGTCGGATGCATTGTTCCAAGTTTCTAGAACAGGTCAGAATAATTAAAAATGATGATCCATCAGCAAGATATTACCTGAAGCCGCTTCATCCACATCAGAAACCGTCAAAGCCTCTAGGCTGGCTACGATATCTTCAAAGCCGTCAGTAAAGAGGAAGGAACATGGATCGTTCAAGTAGACTTACTTTCGGCTTCAACAATAGGCCTTTGATCATGTTCCGGTCCGTAGTACATCTGAAGACAGTGTCTGATAACAGTGATGACCTGTTCCACGCTCTTGGCGTCCTGGGTCTTCTGCGCCTGCACCAATAAGTGGCAGCGCCTCGTACAAGCTACTTGAAGATCTCTCCCAACCCTTTCGATAAGTTCAGCATACTCCTCGTCATCCATGGCCTTGATGTCATGGCCAAATACAAGCGTCTTAAGGAGGTCGATTGTGCTATTTCGCACAGGCTCCTCAAAGTACATCACTAATGGAGGCGCCCATTGCGGCACTGTCTTCAGGACGCAGCGATTGAAGAAGTCTGGCGATCTCTCAAGGCTTAGGCTTTGTATTCGGCGTGCCTGGGAAAAAAAGTCGAGATGCTCCCGCCCTCCAAACACCCCAATTGTGTCGACCTCTCCAGCAATGTAGTTGATGACATGCCGGGCATTGATTTCCGCTGGACAAGATTCACAAAAGACGATTGCGGCGCGCAGAAAAGGCGCAGCCAAAGTTGCCGGATCGATGTTGATGCCACTGATGATCGTATTCTGAACCAGTGTGAGCGTGCCAAAGTCCGGCTCTGCAAGGACCATCGCTCGGATTATTCTCTTCGTAGCTGGCGGATTGCTGCCCGCTTCGAGGATCTTAGTCAAAAATACACAAGTATCCTTCGAGCGTGAAAGGTCGCTTCCGAAACGCATGTATTGATCCTCAGTAAAAGTCAACGGCATTCCGTCTTTCCTCACCTTGCGCTCACGGGTTCCCCGCACGGTGTCGTCTCGCAGTTCCACTTTGTCCAGGAGGTTGGCGAGCAGCTCGGTGAGCTTGTTCAAGGAGAAGTTTCGGCCCTTCTCCACAAGGCGGAAATAATGGCCGTAGTGAGGATGCTCGTTGCGGAGTCGTGGAACTTTGGGGTTGTCAACAAGCAGAATTTCCAGACAGCCTGAAAGAAATCCTTGGTTTAGAAGAACGTGACACTCATGTACCCCGAACAGGACCATTTCGGCCAACAGACCAAAGTAGTCATCCCAGGCGCGTATGTGTACAGGCATGAAGTTCCAAAGGTCTTTCAGACGGCGAACGAGTCTTGGAAAGACACCATCCGGGTGCATATCCTTTCTTGATGTTACGCGCGCGATCTCGTCTGCTTCGTCAAAGCCAAACCACCGCGGCTCGTTGTTTCGGAGATGCTTGAGTGCAACAAGGATCATGCCAGCAAAGTCCTTGCGGACTTTCGGAGAAGGACAGCGGAGCAGCAGGTTACGCAGAGCGGACTCATGATGCAGCACCCAGTCTAGGGCGATTCTGCAGCAGGTCGAGCAAGAACCGATAACTTTGGTTAGCGAAGCAAGCATCTTCCCAAAATCGGGACAATCTTTGGATCTCGATAGTACCCTGTCGAGATGATCTAACGACAGCAGAATGGCTTCCTTCTCCATTCCATGGTCTTCCGTACACTTGTCTTCGTTCACGATCCGAAGCTGCTCCAGAAGTTGTCTTACGAAGGCTGCATGCGCCGGATCGAACATGCAATAGGTCCGAAGCCAACCCCCGTTATTGAAAGCGACAGGGGTTTCGATCTCAGTCGGCATTGGACTCTTGGCTGGGACCCCAAACGATTTGGGAGAATGAGTTTCGTCGTGTGACGATTTGGGGTCGCATCTCTCGTAGAACAACATATACGCATTCCAGGACTTCAAATAACGTGACGAGTAACCGGAAGATTCGGTGAAGCCTCCAAAGCACTGATCCGGAATATGTGAGTTGTCGAAAGGTACCACATCGATGTCATTGAACTCGACCCATGTCTTGCCGCTTGCAGCGCCTAACGGGCGCTCCTGAATGTACGAGTAGTAGTGGCCGGATTCGGCGGTACCGCTATGAACGAGCACACCGACGAGGTTGAACAAATCGGTCGAAGCTGACTCCCCCGGATCTTTCAGATAATCGACATGATAAGGAGCCATGTCAATCTGTTCTGGAAATTCGAAGATGTCGTTGATTTTACTTCGCATACCAGTCATGACATCGTAGTCGAACCTCTTCAAGTGGAATATGAGATTATTCGGGATATCCTTGAGGCAAGCCCTGATAGTCATTAGCAAATAGCAAGGGATAGCACTCATTGGGAAGTACGAACCTTTTAACTGCATCAACATAACAGCCGCATGATGTACAGGAGTATTTGTTGTCTTGAAGAAACAGTTAGTTCATCCAGAACACATCATTTGGAATTGTGTACCAACCTCCTTCCATGACCTCCCCACCCACATAGGCGTTGAGACTGTCCAGTAATGTCAGCTTCCCCTGAATGTCACATTGAATCGCCGAAAAAGGTTCCAATCTTTCAGAGATGTGTGAACACTCCTTAGACTTGATTTGCTGCACAATTTGGCCGCCATAGAAAGCGCGAAATGTCTTTTTGTCGGCGCCGGACAAGATCTGACTCTCCCATCTGTCAAAGAGCAAGTTGTAGAACTCATCAACATCCATTTGTATTGAGACATCGATGGCGGTATTGTCATACGTGATTAGGGATTCCGCGATGCCCGAGGGATCCACAAATTTCAGCATCGACTCTTGCATAAAAGCAAACAGCTGTTGGGTTTCGTGGAGCAGTCTCTGGGATGAGGATCCATCTGCAACATTGGTGTTGAGCATGAATCCTCGGAATTTGACGTTCATGAAGAGCTGAGTGAACAAAGAGTTCATATAGCAGGTATTGGATAGATTCCTTAGGCCAGGATATCCTGCTGGAGCTCGGATGCATTTTGTTCGATCGAAGTTGAGGTTCGGCTCATAGTGACATTCTTCTGAGATTTGAGCGAGACCCCATGACCATGCCTGGGATTCCTCACCTTGGGAGAGCAAATCTCTGACAAGCATCAGCAATTTTTGATAACCACCCATGTCATTGCTCAACGCCAAGATGATGGAATAAATTTCCTCACGCGTTCTCGTAAAGAGATTCGGCATTCGAGTCTGGGTCAGAGCGCCATTGATGGAACTTGGTATCTCAGGAAAGAGGTGAGCTCGGAAGAGCTTTTCCGCAAGGCCGTCACTATAGGAGTTAGAGGAACTCATAAGCTTAGAGCCAGGAGACCTACGGCGCTTCCAAAGGCTTGCCCAGCGACTTAAGGACCTGGAAAGACCAGTTCAGCAGAGAAGAAAGTCCAAGGACAATCCAGTCTATCTGGTCGCGACCCACGAACTGTTCATCATTAGTGATTAAAAGTCAATCTAGAGCACTCCTACCAACCTCTTCGTGTTCATGTTTCAAAAGTAGTCCGCTCCAACCATGAACGTAACTAGATACATCGAGCGTCCCATAATATGCGTCACCAGTCGATCTGAAGAGGAGCGTCGCAACTTCAAAGAACTGTTGCGAGGCTGTGTTTCTATATTGAAGGCAATGAGGAATAACCTTTGCTATGTTCTCCCAGAGGTAAGAGTTGAAGTTTTCCGCTGTTGCTGTTTGGGATCTGCCCATTGAATTAGCAGATCTCTCAAGTGAGCCTTGTTGAATGACTGTCCAGCACTTACGCAGATTGAGATCGACATATACTTTTTACCCACTCAGCCACTCTGACACGTGTCTGCCACTTTGGTTCGTCGAGCAAAAGTCGTTGCAAGAGCTCGGAGCACACATCCGCGTCCTTGAGGTGTTTCCAGAAAGTATCGGAGCAGAGAGATGCTTTTAAAAGGGCCGCAAAGGAGTTGATAGCCAGGAAATCGGCCTCGGAGCTGTTCAATACGGTAAGAGCCTCTGAGATCATGGACAGCAGACGCTTCAGGAGCGCCAGTGGATTGGGGAACACCGACAAGCCGACTTCGGCAGGCATAGGCTCTGGATAAAGGCTTAGGTCAGTAAATGATGTAACAGGGAAAAGACGGGCGCAAACCTTTGAGGAACATATGTAGACAGTCTACGAGGCCTAATGCCACGACGATATCGACTTCGGCGCCATGCGACCCAAGGTTGAGGTTCAGTGTCGACATGGTTGCACTCAATAACTGAATGCCATGATGTATGAAATCAACGTTCGCAGGACCCTAACCAGTGTTAGAAGATACCGTTTAAAAAACAAAAAAAAGAACATCTAGGATGCTTGCGTACATTCTGCGTCTGCTGTACCAGGCAAGTCCTGAGCGCGTAGACCGAGTAGAGAATTTTGAAGGGCGCGGTCGGAGGAAAGACAGCTTCCAGCGTCGTGTCTTGGGAAAGAATCAATGCCGTAATACTGCTGTGAGGCGGAAACGCAACCAAAAACTCATGGACCTACACACCATCAGCAGTCGAAAAGGTTGCGAGACTGGTTTCCAGGACCCACTTCTTTGGCAAGCTTGTCCTCCATACCCAACAGCTGATACAATTCGGAGAAATGAGCCAGTATTTCTAGCTCGACCGGCCGCAAACCGGATACATGAGAAAGAGGTGGCACGGACTCAGCATCTGCAACTCTCCTGACAATGAGAAGACCCTTCTGATCGAACTTCAGACTTCGGAGCGTCTGGTTAGCGATACTCTTCAAATTCAAGACTTGACCCCCTGCAATTGCACTAAAATTGGGAAAGCTTGTCAATGAGATCAAGCGACTGGACAAGTCTTGTATGGTCTCAAGGTCCCCAACTTCCAGCGTTCGAATGTCAGTACCTGCACCACCACTAAACGATTGGTAACGGATGCTGATAGGGTCGCCTTTGAGCCCGCGGGATTCTTGAGGCAGCTGAGGCTGACTCTGTGGCTGGGGGCTGTATTGGGGACGTGACCGAACGCCGTGAATGAACTCCTTTAGTATCATGAGAGATCTGGAGAAGCACAACTTTTGCGCCTGGACCTCATCTTCGGAGGCAACAATTACCATTGGTTCATCTTCCCCACTGGATGTCCCGTCGCTGTAAGATCGTAACTTGGAGGCCGCGGAGCTCAATTGTCGGATACAACGTTGAACTATCTCGATGTGTATGGCGTCAGTCGCAGCCTGTGTTCTGCGTTGAACGTCTGGCGAATCAAGACACAATGCAACAAGCAAGCTGATGGATTTATGTTCTATGCTACCCGGAGGCGCTGTCAGTGACAATTGCCAAAGTAGATCTGTTGCAGTCGGCCCTCCATTAGCGTCCTTATCGAGTCGGGATGTTGCCATACATGATTGGTAATGGACAACCTCTTGGACGAATTGCAGGCAACCACTGTTGTAGTACCGCGGTTGTAGTCGGGGAAGATACTCTTTGATCAGTTGGTCAACAAAGGGATTCTCGGTGGCCTTGCATCGTCGTAATGCTTTGAGGAAGCACATCCAGCCATATGAGCGGGCCCGGTCATGAGGCGCCCGAGACCCTACTGCAAAGTCCCATAGTTTACCGCCAGCGCTGGTGGTGATAGTGTCTGGGGCTGAAACTATGATGTGTTGGATAAGGTTGCAACGGATGTCCAAGCGCTCTTCAAGCATCTGAGAATGACCGTTTGAAGATCGTTCGATGTCTATCATATGCGCGAACTCTTCGATCATCAGAGATGTCACATTCGACCCTTTAGTTAACATTATTATTTCCCCTTCTGGGTTCTGGTTAATCAGAGCAGACATGGCGGAAATACTGCCTGTCGCATATTCGGTCCGATCTGAAATGTCTTTGATGCATTCCTTGTAGATGGCTTTTCTGTCCGAATCACTAGGTCCAAACTCGAGCAAGCTTGCAAGTTCGTTTCTTGCGAAATTGTGAATCTCTCGCTTTCTCGAGTGCTCCAAAGAGCTCTCGGCTAAAGATTGGCGGATGAGCCGAATGCATAAGTGGAACGGTGCCATATCCATCCTCTGGGGGAAAACAGGGTTCTCGCTTTGGCTCAGGCTCCACGTTCTTCGAAGATGGTCAAGCAGCGTTCTGCCATAATTGTTCATGCTGGCATCAAAAGCATGAATTGGAATTTCGTTGAGTTTCGCTGTCAGGTAAAGTAGTATCGGGTAGCCGGCGATGTTGAAGATACCGTTTAGCATAATTAGTAATGCATCGATGAATCGTGAATCTGGACTTGTGACGACTCCTTTCCAAATGACATCCGACTGAACTTCGGTATATCTGCCTGTGACAACAAGGAAACCCACAATATTGGCACATCTGTTAATTAGCTGTGGGTGGGATTCAACACCAACGAAATAATCCACAAGCTTGTTATCGAGCATGAAGTCGGAAAGATACTGGGCTGTCGGATGGTCTTTACCGCCTTCGCGATTTTGGACGTATTTTTGATACACTTGCACCAACTCCAGCTGCATTGTATCGACACCCTGGACTCTGATTTCCATCCGGCCTTCAAGAATGCACTTCTTCAACAACCCAAATTTCCAAGCTAACTCGACAAGAAGAGCCCCATCATCCCTGTCGAAATCTTGAGTAAGAGCAAGTTCTTCGTGTATATACTTGCGGGTCAGCTGCTCGTCTGAGCACGCTATATTCTGAAGAAGCGTTGACATCCCATTGACAAGGCCTTGACTAGTTTCGATGGACAAGGCCGAGACCTGCTTGCTGATCAAGGTCTGGAACTGATTGTCAATGACCGAGAAGAACTGATACATTTGATAAGGCAGATCCCTAAACGAGGGGAGCCACGCCTCCTCGGTCGCCGCACTGCTGCTTTGCAAAACTCGGTAATGATTCATCACCTTATTGGCGATGTTTAAGTGGACCCAAATACTTTGAGTTATAACGGGACATTTTTGGGAACGCTCGAAGAGTTCTCTACAGATTTCGGTCATACATCTGATACCACTTGCTGGTGGTTGTATGAATCTGCTGACTATTGCGGTCACTGGGACTTTGACGTCGTACCTCGATGTATCGACGACGGACTTCCAGAGTTGAGACGTATGGCTTTGGAGTTGGTTCAAAGAGATAAGATAGCGATTGCAGATCAGATCTGGAGGATTCCCAGGATCTTCCAAGTGTCCAGCCAGCGTCTGGTTATCGATTCGGGCCATTCGCATAGCCAATGCTGTGTACGCAACGAAGAAATCCTGCAGAGGGTCGATGCTGCTCGTCGTATCGCCAATACTCGATTGCGCCAACTTGACATTCCCAATCTTGTTGCTGAAATCGATTACAATCAGTATAGTCATGTATTACATAAAAGGGCAAGCACTACCTTCGTTTCAAGAGGCCTTCCACCAAGGAAGGAAACTCTTCCCAGAAGGCACGCTGTTCATGGTACATCTCCCACCACTGAGAGGTGTGTGGCTCTGTTGTTTCAAGATACATTTCGATCCAGATGGATAGACGGCGAAAGTATTCACCATCATCGAGGTCACCTTTAGAGGAGTCAGCTGGCACATTCCCTACAACCAACGGAACCACTCACCCTTCTCAAAGGTCTGGGCGAGCACAGCTACAGTTTTCCGCAGGTTCCTGCTCCTCTCACCTAGATACGGAAAGTCTTCTAATACACTCTGTTGGATGTCCTTCGCATCCATGAGACTTGTGGCGCTTATCAAAGGTTTCCATCTTGTCTCTCCTGATTCATCATTCATATCTTCGATCTCGGCGACTTCGATCTCGGGGCTGCGCGGAGGAGAGGAGGTCACGGAGATGACATTGGATGGCGAAGAGTCCAATTTGCTCGACGGGTCATTAGAGCTAGACGGGACATGGTCACCTCCGCCTCCACCCCGCAACGAAGGTGTGCCACCGATTTGGGCGGATATCTGTGTTGGAGAGGTGATTGTGCTGGGTTCTCGGACGTTGATGGTCACTTCTTTGCTGGGTGTAAGGCTCATAGATGGGAGCCCACCAGCTGTTTCTGAGGGATGGGATGAGATGTGGGCGCGTGGAGGTGTTGTTGGATCTTTAGCAAGCTCAGGGTCGGTCGGGGTAGCTCCCAGTCTGTCGGCAGACATGCTTCTGTAAAATCGGTCTCCACTGTCCAAGCGAGGGCGTTTCCTTGTGCCGGAAGCGTCGGTGTCTTCCATAGGCTCTCTGGCCCCAGCGGACTTTGCACGAGTAGGCGTAAAGGCCGAGCGTGTTAGAACTGAGTCCATGACATTGTGCTTGCCAAGCGTTCTGGGCCGATTGATTGTGGCCAAGAAGCTGAGGCTGAGTGGATGAAGTGAGTTGAAGTAGATGAGAAAGCTAGTGATGAAGCTGGAGAGTGCAAAGGATGAGTCAGGATGAGCTCTATGATTTTTGGATTGTGTAGAGTGGTGAAGCTGTTGTTGTTTTTGTTTGAAGCTGACGAGGGTGTGTCGGGTACTCTATGTATGTGTCTCTTCGGAAAGTGACAATTGATTGATGATCATCAACCAGGATTAAGGGTAAGTTAGGCAGAAAAACGCGCTAGTATGAGTAGTCTACTCTACCCCGCGATGCGCTCATTGGTTACGAACCCGCGAAAATTTCTAAGGTACAAGTTACAGAACTAAGACCCCTCGGACCCTTCAAAGTTCGTAGCTTGGGACATGGGAGCATGGGAGCTTGGAGCCTTTGGTCTCTACAGACCGCAGTAGTTTTGAATCAAAGCAAACACTTCTATTTGTTTAATTAATTGATGATTCGCATTCTTACGGTGCACAATTGGGCTTTGACCGTCTCACCCACTAGAGTAGTGTATGAGGTCATGGTGGGCGACTCTTTAGGCTAGAGTATGTGGCCGCAACAACATCTCGATCAGAATTCTCTCACCACTCAGAAAACTAAAAACAACTCCACCATGGGATCAGCGCCATTAGGAATGGAACGTAAGGTAATAATGAATAAAGCCTCTGAGAAACACACCCTGCCCAAAACACCCAATCAAACATTCCATTAGCTTGACGTGCTACTGTAAAATACATGTTGGAGGATTAGGGTGGCGGAGCTGCGAGCTTGAACCCAGAGCAAGTAGATGTCATGGAGGGCAAAAATCTATCAGCAGCATCCAGAAAGTCCAAGACAATCTCCAGCCTAGATACACCATACACACATGTGCAATGGTGAGTTCAACCTTCAGGAGCCCCAACCAATTCGTATTGACCAATTCTCCAGGCCAGTCGTATCTGCCGATGACCAGACAAAGATACTGGACATGCTCTGCAGGCAGGTCTTTCCCAATCGCAACAAGGGCAAAATGCCTGACTGTCTTGACCAATTCTGCTTTGATTTTGCAATTCTCATACAACACGACAGGGAGCATACCTTGCCTCCGATTGTAGATACCCTGGTCTCCGAAGGTCGAAGGCTGATTTCATCCTTCGTGCAGCCTGCTCAGTCCCATTGGTGAACACAGGTCGCGGAACGTTGCTTCTTCTAAAGGAAAGCGGGCGAAAAAGAGGAAGAGAGAAGACGATCCAATCGTCAAAGACCGACAGGCGGCCTTTTCCAAAGGGCGACTTGCAAGAACGAGTGCTCTTGCACAACCGGAGATCCATGACCACTTGACTGTTGGCTTCAACACGACCACCAGATATTTGGAACGTTTGGCTCAAAAAGTTAGTCCAAGCACCGATAAAGATGAGATCCCAGGTACAGTAGTGGCAATGGAGACTTCTGCACGACCTCGTCTCAACCCTGCCAACATCAAGCCATTGGCCGCAGTCTTTGTTCCTCGCTCTGGCCAGCCACCTGTTCTCTATTCACATTTGCCGCTTCTTACCAAAGCCGCATCTCTCGCTGTGCCTTCATCACCATCAACAAGGATTATATCACTCCCAGAAGGAACCGAAGCCCAATTGAAGACCGTTTTAGGTATTCCGCGAGTTGGAATGGTCGGCCTGATAGACGGTGCACCAGACGCCTCGTCGTTGATCGAACTCATCAGACAGAACGTACCAGAATTGGAGGTACCATGGTTTCAAGAAGCGGTCAAAGGAGCATACTTGGCCGTCAAGATCAACACGGTTCAGACTGGCGCGCCACTCAATCCAAAACGAGGGGCACGTTCGTCAATATTGGCAATGGCGCCTGATGATGGAATGTGGTATGACAAGCGCCGCTAGAATAATATGGGAATTCTCAGGGATTCATGGACCAAGCCAAGACCACCAACGGATGGAAAGGTGGTTGACGCTTCAGCCGGCATCACCTCTTAAGCTGAATTCCAAGTGCAAGACCGTTGCGGTTGACTTCGGCTTTGCAGTGCTCCTGTTCGTGTGTCTGCTGCGAGATGTTGCGTGATAGGAAAGCTGTGGTGGCTTGGGCGTGCCAGGTGGACGTTCGAAGCTTCGGTGTCCTAGACGCCATGAGCATACACGTTGCAATTAAAACAATACTCAAACTCATTCACCGTTCACATTCAGGTAAATCGTCTGCCTTGGTCATAGTCCGCCTTGTATGGAGAATGACGACACGATCAGCACTAGCACACTAATCAGAGACCATACGAACGGGATCCAAGTCGACATCCTGAAGCCTCCGGCGTTGTACACAGCGCCGAGTCTGCCAAACAGTCAGCAACTTGCCCCCTTACGATACACCATAACTCCACAACCTTTCTCTCCCACAGAATCGCTGTCGTACGTAGATCAGAGCACAGCAAGCATACTCACATCAACCCCACTACGCTCCCTGCCAACAATGCTTCCACGCCTGCCACGATTCCATACACGACTGGCACCACCCACAGCACCTTGATATTCTTCAGTGACTCCTCCCGCCCTCTCTTAACCTCCTTTCCGCCCCCGTTCTCTTTCCCATCCTCCTTCAATTTGTTCCTCCCTCCCCACCACACAATCACCACCGCGTACGTCCCAACCAGCAAATGTACAGCCTCGAAGATGATGGTCGTCCAGAACAGAGTGAAGCGCCAGATATCGTGAACGTGGTAGAGGAACCTGGGCTGGACGAGATTATCCGGTCCAACGAGCCAGTAGAGAGAGGGAAAGGAAGGGGTTTTGTAATTTTCCGGGACCCAGGTAGTGGTGTTGGCTGAAGCGGGCATTGTGAAGGGCGTTGAGGCGGGATTCGACAGGGCACTGATTGTTCATCTGCAGAGAAGATGGGGAGAGTGGATCGGATTCGTGTCCATTTCGAAGGGGTTAGGGGCTCGTATGGGTGTTGGCTCGAGCCTTGAAGGTGCAGAGGATGGATTGCGTCCGGGGACACTTCGGCTATACCTATCTACGGGCATCTCTGAAGGTTCAACGCTTAATCCAGCTCTAAGGTAATTAGCTCGCGGGTGACAAAAAGATTGGAACGCCAAGCCCGCACTGACGACAGTACGACTAAGGCACTAATTGACGACTAGAGGGGGGTATGCCGTAATGAGCTTGCGATATGATTGGCCCCCGAAGCGAGGAACGAGTGTAGGGCTGGCCATAGGGTACCCCGCCAAGCGAGTCTGAATACTGAGACTCTAATTGACGAGGGGTGGACTAATATTTCCATATCGTTTATTAACGAGAAAGTGGATAGTATGCCAAATAGGTTACAAGCAGTCATAGACGGTAAAGGAGCAATGACAGGATACTAGAACAGAGAGATACATAGAAATTTGTATGTGTGTCTCCGCGCAGTAGTTAATTTCATGAGGAAACGCACAATACTAGGAAATGCGGAATCTTAAATCCGATAAGTCCGATCCAACACTCAAATGCCTACTTCTCATCAAAATTCTATGGCAACTCCGCATAATAAGGATTAATAACTCTGGTTCTTTCTTGCTATCAAGGCTTCTACATCGAGGAACCCAAATTATTATTTTTTAGGCCTTATCGGTCTACCAACGCGTAAAAATCGTATCTCTTCCACCTTACTAGATATATTACTGCGAAGATACTACAGTAAAGACTACGACGGAGCCCTTAGTAAAGCGAACGATAGTGATCTTAGTGGGCCTAACGTAGGAGGTGCAGTAGCCATTTGAATAAGTGGTAGTGGTAGCTATGATAGTGGTAGCCAGCTATGTCGGATTTATCGGATTTAAAAATTCCGCATTTCCTAGTATTGTGCGTTTCCTCATGAAACTAAGTAGTCTGGCTTGGCGTTCCATTCTTTTTGTCACCCGCGAGGGGTAGGTACAACATTTATGTGCACTCCAAAGTCGGTCTCCCACGACTTTTGTCCCCAACCAAGTCGGGTACGAATACGATGGTGGTAATGGACGTCATGATACCTACTTATTGTACAGCGCATGCGACAGATCTCGGACTTGGAAACATGACACCAGTAAAAGCCTCATATCTTATTTATTTGGATCTCATGGTCTAATTCTCCTACCGTTCCAAAGCAGCACACCTTCCTTGCCTTCCTCCATCACTCCCTCCCTGTCAAGTAGATCGAGATGCCAACATATGCCATCCTGGGGGTAACAGGTACGTATTAAATTTATCAACGCAGTATTTCATTGGTCGATATTGAGTTCTAGTCATCTATCAAGACACCCTCGACCCACACTTTCCTCGTCTGTAAAACTATTAACATTGAATCCGATCTTTTCTCAGGCTCCACTGGATCCTCGCTCCTCAGATATCTTCACGAGAGACCAGTGAAAGTCAACATCAACTTATATGCGCGGTCTGCACCCAAAGTCGAGTCATTGCACCCATACGTCAAGACCGCAGAAAACATTCAGAGTTTCGTTGGTGATCTTTCAAGCGCAGACGTACTCAAAAATTGTCTACGAAACACAGATGTAATTTTCAGCACCGTCGCTCAGAATTCCAACGAGCCAGGCTGCTCCATCGCTCAACGGACAGCCCACAGTATTGTATGTGCACTGGAGGCGTTGCGAAAAGACGAAGGTCCAACTTTCAAATGTCCCATCTTGGTTTTCCTGACCTCGGCTTCTCTGAACCCAACTTTCTCGGAATCTACGCCACGGCTGCTTCACTGGGTGCTTGAACGCGGGTGCTATTACGTACGTATTTTTGGACTTCATATACCCATTTTTGGACCAGATCTTCAGTCTTGAGACATGTCTCGGAAGTTGTTACTCTCAAGAACGCTCCAAGGCGCGATATCCCCTCTGATTTAGGCAATACTGACCCCGAAATCACAATTCAGATTTACGAAGATCTCAGGAAATCAATCAAGTATCTAAAGGAGCAGTCGTGGATCCCTTTGATTACCGCCGAACCTCCTGCACTAATTAAAGATATCCCGCGTGGATATGAACTTTCACAAGAAGAAGTCATGCCCGGCATCTCCTACGATGACCTGGCACGTGGGATGGTGCAAATGGCGGAAGAAGATGGCGGTCATAAATGGGTCGGCAAAGGAGTGGGGATTAAGGCAACAGGCAAGGTGAAGATGGATTACCTGCCTCTTATCGTACGTATTTTCGGAGCCCCTATTTCCCCTTTTGGAGCAAATCTTGAGTCTTGTGATGCCTCGGGAGTCTTTACTCTCGATAAATGTTCCAAACCCTGGTATACCCCTCAAATAGACAACACTGACTGCGAATTTGTGATCCAGTGGTACCTAGTTACTGGTTTAGTTGCCTACTTCTCTCCTGCGGCCTGGAAACTTTTGCAAAGAGCAGGTCTGAATCCATGAAATGATCTGCGGGGGCGGTATCCAGTTGAGCGTTTGCAAGCTTTCGGGAGACTAGGGTATATGCTTTGCTTGGGCTGCTACGTTGGGACAGGGGTAATGCGGTGGTAAATGGAAATCTGACGGACACCCAGATTAAGCGAGGCCAAAGACAGAACAAATCGTGACCAATGACTGAACGGATCACGCCTAAGTCGAAATGCTCAAAGGGCGATTGTATTACAGCCATATTCACTTCTTCAAGTTTCCAGGCACCTCGCCGGTGCACTGATCGGTCATGCTCTGCTGCTAATCCTTCGATCTAAGGCAGTCCACCGTATTCTCCTCGCTACTTCCACATTGCGCTTGTATGTATGTCGTCTCCCTCACATCACCAAAGCACGTTCGCCAAAAGCTATCCATGTTTATTCACGCAGTCCTTTGAATTCTCCCAATGCGGCAATATCGACTATTGTCGCTTACCGTGTATAAACGCAGAAAACACGTGACTCTTATCTTTGGGATCATCCCGAAATGCTGGAACTTTATCTGTACTACATCTGTTCACCTTCGACGTCGACTGCAATAACAACAATAAACAACGGAAGACTATTATTGGCTTTTGCAGGGGGTAGAGACACAGTTTGATTTGGTTATCAAGTGCGGGGTCCACAGTCTCACCGCTGTTGCCATATCAGCACTTATGCGAGGGGTGCAGTAGCTGATCCTTCCGGCGATCAAAGCCACACTTGATGACAGCACTTGGCGTAGTGTAGCCCGATACTAGGCATTGTACCTGGTGCAATACATCGCTTGTCATTCTTGTCCTTCCAAGGGATTCACGGTTTGCCAAACATCTTGAGCCCAAAAAATTTAACCTGGAATTTAATCGCATCGCACGGACCAGACATTGCTTCACAGTCAACAATCTTCGGAAACCGTCCAACCTCAGGTCCCTGGATGGAGACCCCGGGTCCTTCCTACGCGCTTGATACGGGATGCTGCCATTGTTGATAGCCAACCCAAGCTTGGTAGCCTCCTACTGCCAATCCTGCCATTCCCAGTATCACCGCGAAGATGACGCCTATAAGCGTAGCTAACATTACGTATCTCGCACCGCTTCTACGTTCCAGCCATTTCTCGAACGATCCGCGCGGCGTTGGGTTTTCCAACTCATCGTATAGCTCCGCTAGATGTTCACCAAAGTAGTGGTATGCAATGTCTTTTTCATCGTTATTACGGATAGAGGCAGAGTCAAAACGGAGACAGTCGGGGTCGAAAGAGGATGTTGAGATCAGCGAGAGTAAGAGGGATTTTGACTTGCGGTCGGTGAGCGGGAACAAGATTTTTTGCACTGAATCGAGACATTCGAGTGCAAGCTGGCGGGGTAACGCACCACTGCGTTTGAACATGATCAGTGGTTGCTTCACTTGATTACACTCCCGATACTGACAATCTAATTGACTCGCTGACTGACATGTTTGGCGCTTTATCTTTTGTGAGTCTCAAGTGCTCTTTGAGAAAGGCCGTATGATGATATATTTCCACTACTCTAGTCTTTCGGTCTAGCTTTAGGTGTCTTCTCAAGTCGTCTGTTGGCAGAAGCTTCAAGCCAATACGCTTCTTTAACTTCTTCGCCATGAGAGCTGCTTTGAGATCCATGGAGCCTTTCAGATCATCGTCATTCAAGCTCGGATGATCCGTCATTGGGAAAATATCAACGAGGAATTGAGCCAAAGTGACGTCGCTGCGCCATGGGGCTTGTGAGAGGCCGTGTTCGAGCAGCCCAGATGATTGGCGCTGTGCAGAGCAATTGACCATGGCGATGACTTTCACAGCTAGATTGATAGCACGTTCTCGGTCTGCAGACGATGGAAGTCTTCGAGATGTGTCATCTCTGAAAACCTTGGCGGCGAACTCTGCACGGGTAATGTCCGGGTTGAGCTTCAATTGCTTGATGATTGCAAAGAGATCCTCATGGGTGCTCAAAGCAGCACAGTCACCAGGCGCAGCGTCAGCCTCGTAGGATGCAGTCAGGCCTTTGTAGTGCTCGAAGAAGCGACCAAGGCGTTTGAATCGTTGCGAAGGGCACGCCTGCGTGGTGCAGGACCGGCCAGTCCTGCATTCTTCGCACAAAATCCACGACCAAAGTATCTCTCCGAGTATCTGGAGCTGCTTGTCGGTTACTTTCTCAAGGGGAAGCAATGATACAGGCCATGTCTTAGCCATTCTTAGCGGTCGAAACCGAATAATGTTGCGAAAATTGAGAAAGATACGTTATGAAATAGTATTTATATAGACCAAGAAGCATTGAGCGGGCTATCTTAGCATTGCAGACGTGAGCATTCATGCGCCTCGTTTACAAGGGAGAAAGTGGTGGCTGTGCACCTATTGTCCAACTGCTCTAGCGTTGGGGCCATTGAGATAAGCGTGGGGAGCAAGGCTACGTCCTACCCTACTCACTTCACACAAGATGTCTTGTTTCGCAGCAAGCTTTGATTGTCAGCACCTCTTGTTGACGACTGTTCAGCAAATTTTTCTGACATTGTTGGGAATGGTTTCGAGCCTGATGCGCTAATCACTTCGCTTCAATCGTCACGATGGATTCCTTTTAGGAAACTTTATGGGTACCGCTCCAGGCTATAGCAGCCATGATGTCGGGTCGAGATTCGACGCCTTTGGGACGGGCAGCTGCGGAGAAGTTCACTTCAAATACTATCAGCCCTGAAGGCTCTGATTCAGGCTATGCTTCCATAGGGAATACGACTGACGGCTCCACGACGGACCATTCTCAAGACTTCGCAGACGGGGTTGCACTTCCTTCTCGCAACTTTTTCGAGCGTAAGGTCACAAAGCTCAGACTCTTTGACAAAGAGATACCTCAATTAACTCAGCATCGCTTTCACGACTTGCACGAGTTGTTCGAGAGACCGCTCTGTGACTATCTGATCAAGGCAAAGGTTAATCCGAATCCGATCTCAATCAAGTTGAAAGTCTTGGGCGAAAGCGAGGCGACGGCAAAACCTTGGATTGTGGTCTTGTGCAATAAAACCGCATCGAAAAAGATCAGACACTTTTTCAACCAACCGCAAATAAAAGCAGCATACCAGCCACTTAACCCTGATTCCTTTCTACCGGCCTTCAAAGTCTTTGTGTGTAATAGGCCTCCAAGACCCATGGCCGGTACAGAGATCTACAGTGATTCCGCCGAAAAAGCTACGACATGTGGAAGGATCATCAGAGTCGGCGAGGCTCATCACTCTCGCTTTGCAACACTGGGTGGGGTCATAAAGTACGTATTTTTCGAGCCCATATCTCCTCTTCTAGACCAAACCTTGAGACTTGAGACACGTGTTGGGAACCTGTACTCTCGAAACATACTCCAGTGCTCCCCCCCCCACCAAACACAAACACCCTCCAAATAGGCAACGCTGACTGCGAAACTTAATTTAGGGTTGTCAAACCTCCTGGAATCGTAACGCTTTACGGTATGACTGCCGGTCATATCCTAGCGCAACAGCCGCTTGGACAAAACAACCTTGACCAAGTCGATTTCTGTGATGAGGACGACGAGGAAGACGAGGAAGACGAAGGGTTCTACTCAGGTGAAGAAGAATACGAGCTTGATGATTCCTTTGAAAGCGATGAAGAAGTGCAGGATTCGTTTCCCGCAGGCGACAAAACAAGGGCTGTTTCGCAGAGCACACAGTTGGGAGGTCTGTGGCCAAAGATAGGATGCGTTTCTGCCACTTCAAACGAGGGGACAGGAACGGGAGATGATCCTGATTGGGCTTTGATTGAATTCGATAAACCGGCAGATTACCGCCCCAATCTCTTACTACTTTTTGATCGTGAGGAGGAGGCTGCCGAAAACCGCCCGCTGAAGGAAAACGGGAAATTTACGGAGGATGGGTCTAGTCGATCAGTCATCTTACTGAGTGGTATGGGGGGCGTCAAGAATGGAACACTCTCGACCTCTTTGTCTTTCCTTATGATGGGACCAGCCAAAGCCTTTACGAAAACTTATACGCTTGTCTTGCCCCATGGTTCAGGTCAGTGCCCTTCTCGAATGTATTCACACCCTTGGCTAATGCTCCTAGTGCTCAATGCTGGCGACTGTGGCTCTTGGGTCGTGGACCCGTCGACTTGTGAAGTATATGGGCATGTCGTAGCTTCGGATGCGATGGGCGATATCTATGTTGTTCCTCTGAACGCGACACTTCGAGACATGGAGAAAAAGCTCGGAGCGGACCCCGTGTCCCTTCCTACCAAGGCTGATATTCTTACGTGGGTTGCGCAGCACGCCAAAGCTGCAGCAGAGCAGGTTACAATCACAGCTAAAGGCAACAAAAAGAAAGTTGCGTTCAACGATTCCAAGATGGATAAAGTCGAACTTCCAAGGGATCTTCAGAAGCTCGCTGGCCACTCATCGTCTCAAGCATCAACGTCCCCAGCTCCGTTGGCCATCAAAACCTCCACACTGATTGTGGACTACTGCATTTCATGCAACGCGAGATTTGAAGGTACCTCACGCGATGTCAGGTCCAACTTGCTATGCCACCTGCGGACTACTTGTTCGAGACAGAACGAAGATGCAGCACCCGGAATTGAGGGTTCCATTTCACAAGGTGCCAAGGATATTTTAGATGAAAGGTCGGAAAGGCTCTCAGTTGAGAATTCTAAAGACGTACGGCAGAAGACTATAGCCAACACGTCTACGCAGCAGACGAGTCCAGTCCCCTGGTCAATACGATCTATGTATTCGAACTTCAAGAAGAAATCAGATAGTGACTCTCAGCAGAAAGATGGGGACAATGGTAAGAGTATCAGCAATTCAAAAGACAACAAACCCGCTCGATTCGCCTCTTCAAAGAAGCCAGCTGCGACAGCGTCGCCAACTTCAATTTCCAGAGACCTGAAGGACGGCACGAAGAAGTCTAACTCCAAGAAACATTTGCATTCTTCTCCCATCAGTAAACGATTGCATGATCCATCATCAGCGCTGGCAGGTCGCATAAGCAGAGACTTGCCTCCTGCTCCACCAATCCCGCCAGTGTTACCAGACCAGATACTATCTCCCCCACTCGCGACTCCGTTATCACCGCGTCTCGGTCAACGTGGAATATTATTGGCACCCTTTCCCCCTCGCCTGGCTCCTCGGCTGGTTCATGGCCACGAAAGCTTCCATGAGAGCAGTTCTGATCGTCGTCATCTATCCCACAACAGTAAATCAAGACAAGTCAGCTACGAGGGTTATACTTTTACTAAATGCGATTCTAAGCAAACCGGCCAGAAAGAGACATGGGCCGTCGCCAAGTTGGCTCCCATGCCGGTCTCCCGGGAAGATCTCAAGGATCAGATTAAAAGAAATAGGAGAAAGCACACATCCGCGCTTGACGAGTATAACGATGAAAGAATGAAGGGCTTTAAAAGAAAGCAAGTCGATAATCTTATTCACGAACGTACCAAGGTCGACGGTGATTATGGATTTGAATATGTGCTTGCCTCCATAAAGCTCGATTCACGGAAAACCAAGAGCAAAAGTACGGAGACAGTGTCAATGCAAGTCATCTTGAAGAGACAACTAATAGCGCACTTTCCCCATGATTCTTCGACGGACCTTTCAATGGACTTTCTTACATCATTGCCATCCCAAGTAATGGACGTTACCAGCGGAGATGAGCCTGGGAGGGTCAGGAACTTTGGTAGCGGAAACCAGGACGTAGGGCACGGAGGCGCCGCTGTCTCTTTTGCCGGTCATCCTAAACATGGAGCCTTTCTGGGGTCTCCAGCACACGGTCAATCTTTCGGCCACGGCGTGCAACATGTCGGCGACAAACTTCCGCCCTTTCATACCGCGCCCCACCCGCTTAACTCCCTTGACTCTCCGGCTCAAGGCGTGAGACAGCCTCCTCAACCCCATAGCGTCCCCCTCAGCCATCAGGAAATACACAGTACCCAAGGTCACCTTGAAAAGGTCAACAATTCCAAACCCAAGAAGAAGAAGGTTCCCAAGGTCGTTCATATCACGCCCGAGACTCGGAAGAAGCGAGACAACCTTTCCAGTTCTCCCTCTCTTTCGAGTCTCTCCTCTGAATTAGATAGTGAAAATTCGTGGACAAAAACTGATGCAACACCAGATACGGTAGCCTCAGGCGAGAGCCGTGAGTATCGTAAAGAGAAGGAATCCGACAAAGAAAGGAATGAACGGTCTTACGACAAGGACAACATCGAGCGGACACCGTATACTCAAGAGAGAGAACGACCGGTATATCTTGACCATGGAGAGGAAGAGTACAGGCGTCCTTATCTAGCGCCGGCTCAGAGGTTCCGCGATGTATCGTCCGATTGGATCCACCCAAGGCAGGACCTCGACCTGGATCTAGACCGTCATGGTCGGAGGCTGACTTCTCTACGATACTCCTATGGCCCTCGTTACCGTGATGACGGACACTACGAAGTCGAACCTGCTATCAGCGTTGCCGCTCGCCATCGCCGAAGCAGTGTCTCACCAGAGCGACCGTCGCAATTCAGAGCCCCCAGCTATGACCTTGATCGTCCTCCAGCTCACCCCCCGAGAGCCTTGGTCCCAACACACCACCGGCCTGCAGTGTATCGAGACACCACTGCGGACTTTTCTCGTGCTGTCGACGTGTATGACCACGGAGCGGAGCTGGCGCGAGAGCAAGAAAGGCTTCGGCTCAAGAGAGAGGAAGATGAAGCATGGGCGAGGAGGATGAGGGAGTTGGAGAGGCATGACAGGGAGGAACGTGATGCGCAATCTGATGCAAGGATCGAGAGGATGAGAGAAATGGAGAGGAGCGGGAGGGTGACTGTTGGTAATACCTGGGTATGCAGTTACTGCTATAATGAGACTTATCACTAGATATGGTAGTCTTAATGATGTCTAAGGAAGAAGGATATCTATGTACAGAGAATGCCTTCATATACCAATGACTAGACCGAATGAGTACTAGTGGTAGCGAGTGTTGAGTCGTTCCAACACTGGCAAAAACAGAAAATGAGGCTATTCACATGCTACATTCCTTCTCCGTAATCCCCATGACCGCAATTACTCCCTCTGCTGCAGTGGGCGTAGATCCGGTCATGATGGGCGTATTTCTAGTAGCACTGCGCTAAGACGGCTTCCTATTGGTCAGTATCAGTGTCTTGTCTTTCCACCCAGCCTTCTAGATCCAGTTCTAGGTGATTCGTATCCACTAGGCGTT